GGGTGCTTTTATTAGATATATTTAATATTGTATTTAGAATATTTTTGAAGTGTGTTTCAAGTGTATTTTATAGCAGTGTATTTGAAAAACACCCTAACTTAAACAGTGCCACCAGTATTACTCAAAACCAGATATAGTAATCAATCTGTTCCCACATTAAACTTCGTGCCAGATAACAGCAGAAAATATTTGACGGAATCACTGCTACGTGATCAGAAACCCACTACTATTCAAATGAAAATATTTTAAACAAGAGGGACCTGATTAAATAACAGTAATGATCAGAAACCCACTACTCTTCAGGTGACGAAATTTTAAACAAGACGAGTATGATAAAACAACAGCAGTGATGAGAAATGTCATACCAAGCATACAACTTTTCCAGAAACAGCTGGTGAGCTCGTTTACTAAAACCTGGACTTGGCTATATGTGTACTTGATGACAAATTCTGTGGCCTGGAACCCATTAAAAATGGAACTAGATTGTAAGAATTAATTGATTCCACTGTACGATGGGAACATGGGAAACATAATTATTGGCTATAGCAGTCAGCATGGGCCCAAATATATATTCCATATCTGATAGAATCATTTCAAGTTGATCAGAAGGCCACCTATAAATATATATTTATTTATTTATTTATTTATTATTATTATTTTTTAAAACAGTGGATATGATAAAATAATTCGGAAGGTCATGCCCTTTCTGGCCCCCAGGGTTAGAGCTGGTGGTAGCAGTCTAGTTAGGTGAGTACCACCGCAAAGGTTCGAATCTTGAGTGTTACGGTCGGTGATGTTGGGCAGCCTCTTCTGACCCACAGAGGATTAGTTGGGTCGTATGATAACCAATCCATAAATCCAGATACCTCTATGTAGACAAAAAAAAAAAAAAATGGTCATACCCTTTCTGCCTTTCAACACAATCATCAAACCTTTCCAATAACAGTAAGTGAGCTTGTTACCTAAAAATATGAAACCCAACAAGTCATTAAACTAGTGAATCAGTAATCACTAAACCAGGGAATTATTTGCCGGGAAAGGACAAAAACATCAATGATAAATCACACTTTAAAGTGTGATCAGACAGATACGCAATTTAAATCCATACAGTTTTGCAGAAGATCTGAAACAAACCGAATTGGGATCCTTCAAAATTTTGCAACACCAATCGGCAAGTGAATTGGATCAGCTTTTGATTTACGATTCAACTAGTTTGACCAGTTAAATCTTCGTTCAATTATTCTATAAAATTTTAATATTAAATTACTTAAATAAAATTAATATATAAAAAAGAAAAAATATTTAGGGAAAAAACCAGATCAAAGGTTAGTTTTTATCAATTTTGACTAGTTCAATTGGCTCTTGACTAAGTTGATCATTCATCTAAAAGTTAAATATAGTTCTAGATCGAAGTCATAGCCGCTTCGCAGTTCAACTAGTCAAGAAAAAAGGGGAGAAAAGATGAAGGTAAGAGTCTGATTATAGGAGACTCAAGTGTGCAAAATCATCTTGGGAACAAAAGTGATTGTACTTCATTTTGCTATTCTATTGGCTAGATTATTTCGAGGTAAAGCCATGGTTAGGTTTTGTGGTGCTTGGCTTTTGGGTTGTCCGACCGGGAATCTTATAAGAGTTGTGTAGAATCTGTAGATTCTTGATTCTAGGACTTGAATTTACGTTATTTTTCTCAAATCCATATTACGAATGGCAAAGATTGGTTGATTGGCATGTGGCTGAATTCATTATATGATTAATTGAGGGTTCATTGGTTGTTTTTTGTTCTATTTCTCTTCTACGTTTTAGAATACCTGTATACGAACTTAGAACTGTAGTAATTGTTTGTTTATCATTAGAAGTGGTCTTATATTAAGCTCACGTAAATAACGTATGAAAAAGTAATTGGAAAGTTTTCTGCATGTTAAGCTACTTTGTTACAACATTGTTTCGCTCTGAGCTTAACTACGGTAGAGCTTGCAGGATTTAGTTTCCTACTACCTTAAACTTTTGACCTAAACAGCACCCTGAGTAGTTGGACATTGAACACCTAAGTTATCTGATGGGATGAAGGTGACATCTAAGTTAGATCTACATACCGAAAATTGCTGACAAGGTTTTAATGGACCTTGAGCCATTTTTTAGGATTCCGACAAACCCTTGTTGAATCTTGAACCCAATTAAAATGGCTTGAAATTCTATTTGGAGTAATGTATTATTGTTGCTATGCTTTGCCACTTGCTTAATAATCTAAACGTATTGCTCATGTTTTGAGATTTGATGATAGCTTCCTCAAAAAAAAAAAAAAAAAAAAAAAAGTGATGATAGCTTTTAGCAAATGTGCTAATTTACCATTCTCAGTCTAGTGAAAAAAAAAAAAAAAAAAAAAAACTTAAGCTACTTACCCTGGAAATTGATCAAACCATGCTACATATATGTTTGGTAGATAATGTGAAAAGTCTATTGCGGAGTGTCATTAACAAAACCCTTTCAAAAATTCATAGCCCTGGCTTGACACAAGGAAGGGAGAATGATGGTTTTGGAACTTACAAACAACTTGCAATTTGTAGCTCACATTTTATGACACTTTGCACACTCTAATTTATGACCAATTATTACTTTGCACCTAATTCTAACTTTGGGCACATTGCACTTTCATTAAACTTCTAAATTCATTTGGTCTTGATCCCATTGCTAAAATTTTAGAAAATTAACAAAATTTCATGCGCGGAAACTGCATACCTATTTCCCAGCTAGTCAAATTTCACTTTGCACCCCTAATTTATAACTAGGTTCCACTTTGCAACCCAATTAACTTTAATATTAAAGATATTGAACACCCTCATTTTGTTTTAGTATACTAGTACATTTTTTTAGCATACTATTACATAAATCTTTTATCTTTTATCAACAATAACAAATTGGCTATCATTCAAAAACTAGTTTTCAAATATAATGTTACACTAATACACAAACAAAAATAACTCAATAAATATATTCTCCATACAATATACAAAAATAACTCACAAATATATAAAAAAATTTTAAAAATAAATTCTACAATATTTTTCACTTATCATCACCATACACCACCACTACCACCACCCTTACCCACTACTGCCACCATCTCTCCCTTCTCCTTTCTCCTCCCCCCTCCCTTTTCCTCTCTCTTCTTCCTCCCCTACCCTCCCCTCGCGATTTGGTCACAGCTAGATCGAGGAGGGGAGGGGAGAGTCGGGGGATGAAAGAGAAAGGAAAGAGAGAGGAGAGGGAGGAAGAAAAGGAAGAAGGGAGGATGGAGCAGGAGTGGGAGTGATGGTTGTGGATGGTAATATTAATTTTTAAAAAGTACCATAAAAATATTTTGATGTGACCAAATTGCGAGGGGAGGGGAGAGTCGAGGGATAGGAGGGAAAGAAAAGAGAGACGAGAGGGAAGAAGAAGGGAGAATGGAGGAGTGGAAGTGGTGGTTGTGGTGGTTGTGGATGACAGTATTAATTTTTAAAAGTACCATAAAAATATTTTAATTTTAAAAGATATTTCAAAATATATTCCAAGAATTCCTCTAAATATATAAAAAAATTACTATAAAAGTTATTCATATATATTATTACAGTAAAATATTTCAAAAATATCTTTAAAATAGCTAATCTATTTTAATTGAACGTACGTTGAGACACGAATGAACATATAACTGACCAGAAATTTGTGTACGATTAGCATTAAAACCTAAACATCCTAGTCATCTATATTATTCTAACCGTAATTGATTAAGCTTTTCGAAGCAGTAGAAATTTTTTTTTTCAGGTAATCTGTGTCCCTTCTATTTTTCAATCACAGAAGTTCATTTCGTACCAAACTGCATCTAGGTCACGTACCAAACTGCAAACATCAAGGAAATAATAATTACTAAGCCCGATAGCAAAGCCAAACAAACTGACAAACAGTCAACTCATAAAACAGATACATTGATCAAGATTCCGAGACAAACTCTGCAGTCTGCACCCTTCATCAGCTTACAGTGTTGGTTAAACCATTAGCTATATTTATTTAAGTTTGTTTATTGCTAAATTGACCACTGATTTACCAATTTAGTGCAGTTAACTTCTGCAACAGCTAAATAATAAATGATATCCAAATCCTCGCTTAGAGCTTCATATGTTATCCTTTTGGTATTGAAGTAAGGATTTTTCTATTAACACACCTAAATTCTACCCAATTTTTCATGTACATACATACACACCAACCACTATGACATTATCTTACATTTATACATTTTTTTCTAATTAATCTTAATATTTCAAAAATGTAATATCTAAAATACATTTTAATGAGTGTATATTGAATACTCGTTAGACAGATCCTTAAGTAATATTCTTATACTTATAAAAATATTACAAAACTAATTTTATAAATTTGGCAGCAACAGATTGTGTTAAATACAAAGTAAAATCTATAACAGTACACATCTAATGTTGGCAGTGCATATGTCTTGGAAAGCGTAACACATAAGGTTAAAAAAGAAATAAATTACCGCTGCAAAGTGAGATTTGCTCTCTAATTAATAGTGCTTAGCGCGCACAAAACGGAAAATCTTCAATTTAATCAGCGCAATTAACAAAAGTGTCAAGATGGTGGCAACCTAATTAAAAGCTTAAGCTGCAATGTATCCACAATTACAAATGAAGATTGTAATGTAAAAATTGATGATAAATTAGGGGCGCAAAGTGAATTTAATTGCCGAAAATAAAGTTTTGGTCATAGTTCTAGCATTTAGGTATTGCTCTGCCACAAGGTAGCTCTCTTGTTACAAGAAAAAATAAAATTAAAAATAGAGAGTGCCTACGTTAAATGTCTTCTTAGGTACATGAACTCCAAAAGAATTTACAATTTCTTTTAGTTATATAAAAATGGTCTTTTCTGTTTTGCACACAAAAAATTGATGTTATCTCCATGGCTCCAACCCCTTAAGTGGATAGACTTCCACGCAGTAAAATTGAACTCTTTTCATATAAAACAATACAGGGCGCACATTTGCTGGCCTAATTATGTCTGCATACTAATTAATAACCATTTTATAACAAGATACCCAGATTCATTGCCATTATTTTACACAAACTGGAAAAACTTAATCTAACAATGCGTTCGAAATTGCAAACTTTCTACAATCAGACATCAGATGGAGCATAGGTTTTTGGAAGTAGACGTAACTCATTTTTCCTTGAGGCTGCAGCACCGAACCTCTCAGCCATGTTCAAATCTTCAGGACTAATTCCTCCGGGAAGTTTCCAATCAAAGTGGTAGAGTAGATGAGCAAAAGCCCAATGTTTGTCACAGCAAAGTCTATGCCTGGACACAATCTTTTCCCAGCACCAAATGGTATGAGCTCCAAGTCGTTTCCTCTAAAATCAATAGAACTATTGTAGAACCTCTCAGGTTCAAACCTTTCAGGGTCATTCCAGTATTCCGGATCTCTTGCCATTGCCCATGCATTTGTAATAGTTACGGTGCCACTAGGTATAATATAATCTCCAATCTTGCATTCTTCTCTGCATTCTCTCGGGGCTAACAATGGACCTGGAGGGTGTAGTCGGAGAGATTCCTTTATCACTAGTTTCAGGTATTTCAATTCCTGGACGTCATTTACACCAATGTTTTTCTCTCTCTCAAAGGCTTGCCGTACTTCAGCTTGTGCCTCAGCCATAACTCTTGGGTTCTTCAACATTTCTGCCATTGCCCATTCTGTTGCTACTGCTGAAGTTATAGTTCCAGCAACCGCTAATTCCTGGATACATATATTGCAAGCAATAAAATGGAATAATTTGTTAAAATACTTCGGAAGGTTTCGTCTAAATAATCTACAAGGGGTGAGGTAGTTTAAGGGTATCTATGAATGAAAGAATTAATGAATTATACTTAGATAGGTTGGTTTTACAGGCTAACTTGCTGATTTTGCGATTTATTAGATAGCTACACGGGAATGTTGCAGAAAGATGCACGAAAAATGGAGTGTGATGCATGATGATGTAAGAAAATCGATGTGCCTATTACGCATATCATAATGTCTACAAGTGAGCTCGTTAATAAACCTAGCTACCTAGCTATTAGCTGATATCAAAAGAAAACATACTTTAATGCCATTTACCATGAAGGGCATCTGTACAGACTTTTGTATAAAATTTGAAACTCAGCGTGAAGTCGCTTGCAGCTGCAAATATATCGAGCCAACGTTTAAGCCCCCACGCGTATGCTCTTGAAAGTCTTGGTCAAAACTTGATTCTAACTCAGTCAATTTCGAAACTGACTTCGCAAGTCAATTGAATCGAGTTGAGTAGAGAGTACTCAATTTCTTGTCTCTTCCAGGCAATTGAAGTTTATATATTTCTAATACTTTTTATTGTTAAAAATAAAATTATATTTATGTCCCTAATATTTTTATTTTTTATTAAAATGAAATGTCTATTTTATCCATTTTTAAAAAATATAACAATTATCCTTTTGTTTTTATTTGAACTCGGTTAGGTTTGAACTCAACATTAGCGAGCTCGAACTAGAGTTTTACATTCAAAACTTATCGAGTTCAAGGTTGAATTTAAGTTTTGTCAATTTGAATCGAACTCAGTTTGAGTAGGTCAAAACTCCATATTCGGCTTGTTTGCAACCCTAAAACCGCTTTTAGTAAATAGTCAAAATTTTTGCCTGTTATAAATTATTGTTCCGAGTCCATTAATTTCACTAATTTTTCCCTCTCTGGGCAATAGATTGGAGGTTTAAACCCACACACTATTGTTAACCAAATCCAGAGAGTATATAGAAATGCAACCTTGTTGTTTAGCTGGGTTTTTCCTTTCCCGCACCTCAAACCGAGCTGGATTTGGACTTCTCATCAAGAGTATGATAACATAGGTAAAAACAAAAAATAACAAAAATAAATAGATTTTCGCCAAGCAAAAAGAAAGATACTTACAAATATGATAGCCTTGATATTGTTGTTGGTAATAGGGAACCGAGACTCATTGCTGTTTTTGAGCCTTAAGAGAATATCCACTATATCTTCCTCAGCGGTGCTGATCTCGGTCTTTTCATGGTTACTGATAATATCATCAAGGATGTCATCGAGGATTTTGCACAGTTTGTCTAACTTGGGCTTCAGTCCACTAAGAAGTTGAAGAATCTTGAGAGAAGGGAAGATATCAGCAAGATTGAATACTCCAGCAAGTGATGCTGCTTCCCTGGTTGCCAATATAAGTGCTTCTTGGTCTTTGCATAGCCTCCCAACCGAGGCTCTGCTAATTGTGGAGTTTAAATATTTTAGAATTTCGTCAATTACAACGACTGTTGTACCTTGCGACTCCTTAATTGACATGACCATGTTTGAGATTTCATCCTCCATGACACGGAAAAAGGATTGAATACTCTTTGGGCCAAGGAGTTCCTTGATGTACAATTGACGCATTTGATTCCAGTAGTCGCCATATGGAGAAAAAGTAACGCCCAAACTGTTGTACAACATTACTCTAGCCACGATAATCTGTGGCCGATTTGCAAAGGCAAGACTATTGCTTTGCAGGACTTCTTTAGCCAATTTTGGAGATGATATGATAATCGTTGAAAGTTCCCCAAGCTGCAAGTGCATGAGAGGTCCATATTTATCAGCCAGTTTTTTGAGTGTATGGTGAGGGAGTGAACCTACCATCTGGTGCCTGTATTAGAGTCTATTTTTAATTCTCTACTATGAGGCTTTAATTTGTTGAAGAACTTCGATGAATTGTAGTAAAATAATATGCAACTGCTTCCTAAGAACTAAAAGATGAATGTTTAATGACAGATTAAAAAAAAAACCTCAAGAATTTCTATGGAATACTTATGACGTCGCCCTCACAAGGGTGGCCTAGCGGTACGCGAGCTCTTAAGGACTCTTGAGGTTTTGGGTTCGAATCTTACCCTAAACTTAAACCCCTGTGACTCGATCGGGGTCGCTGCGTGGGCTGTGGCGCACTCCTCCGATTTGATGTGCCGGCTCGGATCCTAAGAGTTCGAGTCGGGGCATGTTCCGGGTTACCAAAAAAAAAAAAAAACTTATGACGTCCTATTGTCTTTTTATTCGTTTTGTGCATGCAATGTATGATCCATGTTTTACTATGACTGTTGGCGAGATGATGAGCAAATTGAAGGAGATTGTTTCACTAATAGAGTCTTTTGATTTGCATGTTTGGCCTCATCCTCAAAAAGTAGCTTCTAATGCAATTTCTGTGGATAGCATTTGGCTGTGACTATGAAAAAAGGAGGATATTTGAACCCATATGATCAAAATATCACCTGTATGCACCCGCTGGGGAAGCGGGGATGGGAAAGGTTACGAGGGTAGGGAAAACGGAGGTGAGGGATGAGGTACAGACTAGGGGAGATATTTGACAACGGGACAGAGAGACAAGGAAGAGATCCCCAACCCTAAACCTACCCCATTTCCATCCCTAGGGAGAGTGATGGGAGGTTAAAAAAATGATGTATATAGGGCCTTAGGTTTAAGGTTCAAATGTAAGTCCAAGTAGCTAGTTTAAGAGTAGGAAAGGTAGGGGGAGGGATGGGATGGTTAAAAAAATGATGTATTTTGGGCCAAAAATTTGGGGATGGAGCTTCACAAGTTGGGTTGGTGCAAGTTGTAGATAAAATAGTAGTTGTTTACTCCCAACTCAAAAATATTTACACCCAACTAATTACAAACCAAATACATCTTATATACATCCAACTGCAACTTATTTACACTCAACTCCAACTTTTGGTTTTTTTTTTCCTATCTAAATTGATTTACACTGAACTCCAACTGCATTTCTCCTTGAAGGAACTATATTTGTTATAAATAAAACACAACTCTCTACTAAGTCTCAAAGAAATTTATTAAATTTTAAAGATATCAATTGAAATGGATATCAAGTTGAGACAATGAATGAGACAAAGTAGGATCTAAATTTATCAAGTGCAAAGATAATTGCCATCAACTCCTTTTTGGTTGTTGCATAATTGACTTGAGTCTCATTCAAAATCCTACTAGCATAGTATATAACATGCAATCTCCCTTCCTTTGTTTAACCAAGCACCGTTCCAACTGCGAAATTGCTAGCATCAAATATGAGCTCAAATAGCAAGAATCAATCTGGTGAAGCTATAGTAGGTGCTGAAGTCAATTCTTTCTTTAACCAGTTAAATGCAACCAAACAAGCATCATCAAAATTAAATTCAACATCTTTACTTAGCAAATCATATAAGGATTTAGAAATTTTGGAAAAATTCTTAATAAAAACAACGATAAAAACCAGCATGTTCTAGAAAACTTCTAATACCCTTAACATTTGTAGGCGGAGGCATTTTTCCAATTAACTCAATTTTAATTCTATTCACCTTAATTGTCTTATAGGAAATCTTATGACCTAGCACTATCCCTTCTCTAACAAAAAAATAACATTTTCCTAATTAAGCACTAGGGTTGTCTCTTCATATTTTTGTAATATTTTCAATAAATTATTCAAATCATCATCATCTAAAGATCTAAGAACTAAGAAATCATCCATAAAAATCTCCTTGATGTTCTCAACATAATCAGAGAAAATGGTCATCATGTATCATTGGAATATAGCTGGTGCATTGCACAATCTAAATGGCATTCTTCTAAATGCAAATGTGTCATAAATATAAGTGAAAGTAGTTTTCTCTTGATCTTTTGGTTCTATCACAATTTGGTTATAACCTGAAAATCCATTAACCTAAAAATCCATCAAGAAAATAATAAAATTCATAACCAACCAATCATTCAAGAATTTGATCAAGAAAAGCCAATACAAAGTGATCTCTATGAGTAGCCGCATTTAGTTTCCTATAATCAATACACACTCTCCATCTAGCAATGATTCTAGTGGGAATTTGATAAGTGCATATTTTGTGTGTTTTAAGTGTGTTTTGTTATTTAGTTTTGGTGTCTTTTAATTACTTTTGTAACTAATTAACTAGGTTTCTAGTGAAAATATACATTTTATGGTTTAAGTGTAAAAATTCCATTTCTATGGATTTTAATGGTGAAAACTTCATGTTTTTGTAGGTTTAATGATTCAATTATCAAATGGAGTGATTGAGAAGACAATTGGATGATTATTGATGATTTGAAGTGGTTTTAAAGATAATATGAAGTGCAAAAGATGAAATGAAATCAAGAGAGTTTTCCAGCTTTGACACCTGTTGGTATTTCCACTATATCTTGTGCTACAAGCATCAGATTGAGGTGATTCTTAACTATTTTGAAGCTAACACATAACTATACATTTTCTGTGGAGATACCAAAATCCAGTTCATGAGTTTTCCTAGTCAAAATATCAAAATACAGAAGTGCAATGTTGTTGTCGAAAGCTGAAACAGAGTTGTTACCAAGTGAGGGTATTTGGGTCATTTATCTGTCTACAAAGCTCCAAATTAGATGACTGTTGATGCATTGGAAAGATACCTCAAAAGGCTATAACTTTCATGTTTTGTATAAGAGTTAGTTCAGCCTCTATCATCAAGAAAATATTAGTGGACATTGGTCCAAAAATAGAGCAAGGATGAAAACTGACAAAAAATGAACAAACCTGCAAAAAGGCAAAACATGGGTTCAATACGCGACATTAGGTCACGTTTTTGGGTCATGTATTCTTGTTTTGCGATTGTAACTTGTTCTCTATTCACACAAGGTTTTTGACCAATTTTTCTGCAAGAAATCTGGCTGGATATGAGCAAGCAAGTGAGGAAACTTGTAGAAACAACTTTTGCGAATTTCGAGAGCCAACTTTACCAACTAGAAACAACTCATTGTGGCTTGAATCTCTCTATAAGTAGAAGCATTGGAGAACATTTTAACAACTTTGGAAGACTAGAGAAACTCCACTAAAATGTAGTCTTCACTAGTTTTCTTAGTTCATTAGTATAGTATAGTTAGTATATTTTTTCCATCTTATATTTGTAGTTAAATTTGGATGAAGAATTGAGAGCAAAGATGGAGAGGTTGAATCTCATGTGACAAGGGTGACTCCTCTCCTATCACTTTCTCTTTTGTATTGGAATTCATGTTTAGCTATAATACAAGTTTGGATCTTGTTTTTCATGTTTAGTTAAAGTTCATGCCTAGAGTTATGGATGAACTTGCTATATCTTGTTAGTGATATTTACTTAGTTATTTGATGATATTATTTTGAACAAGTTATTTATCACATTTGCTTTTCTAATCATGATTAACTGCTCATTAATTATGATAATCTTAAGGTGTTGAGTTTGAAATGAAAATTGGGATTTAATACTAGTTCAAAAAAGTGATAAACCTAGGGAACTCACTCACGAGAGTTGAGGTGCACTTATGTGGCTTTATTGACTTGTTTGTAATTTCATAGAAGAAATGAGTTTGTAGTTAATTTCATAACCACGAGAGTAGGTATGACTTAGTTACAAGTACAGTTGATTTACTATGAGAGTAGGTTTCACATACGTTAAGAAATTATACCATAACTGACAAAGATAATAGCATTCACTTAACCGGTAATTTCATTTGCAAGAGTAGTTAGGAATTCTATACCTCTAGGAACTTTATATTGTTATTTTTATTACTTTTATCTCATTTTTGTAATGTAGATTAAACTTCTTGCACTTGTGATAGTCGATAAAAGGAGTTTGAAAACCACCGATAATTGATAATTTTTCTTGTGGGTTTGATTCTTAATATCCTATATTCGTTCTCGATGCATATACTTGCGAAAAATCGCATGTGGGGTATTTAGGATATTATGAATGTAAAACTTGACTGTGAAATGAGTTTAATTATTATATGTATACTTCATGCTCGTCAAGTTTTTGGCGCTGTTGCCGGGGAAGATTTGCTCAATATCGGTGCTAAGAACTACTTTATTAGTTTAGACATTTTTGCTTGTTTTTGTTGTATCTAGTGTCTTAATTGTTGTGTTTAGTGTCTTGTTGAGTCATTTGTTTTGTGTTTAATGTCTTTTTTTTATGTGTCGAGTTACTTATTCTTCTTAACTCAACTAGTTTTTGAGTTACTTTGAAGATATGTTTAAGGACTCAAGGAGAGTAGTAAACTTGAGCAGACAATGCTTGAAAAATGGAAGATTTGCAATAAATTGTTACCATGTGTAAAACTCCATGAATAGAAGTAACCAAGAGATGTTCGAAGGTACGTCTTTTGAAAATGGTTTACGAAATATTAAGGGTAAACTTGATTTTATAACATTAAAAGTTCAATTGGACACCATTACAAATATGCTTGAACAAAAAAGGAATGTTATTGTTTTAATTCTTATTATGTGATTTGTGACTTGTGTGGAGGTAATCATGCTACTAATACATGTAGGCAAGTATAAAATGTGGATTATTTAGATGAATTTGGGCATTACAATTCTTATTTTGATCAATATGGTGCTGATTGGGGTAATTCACATTCTTATGGTTGGGATAATCAATGTACTTATAGTGATTCTCAATGTTATCATGATTATCCACCCACGTTGTCCAATATGAATCTAAGCCATCTTGAAAATTAGTTATAGAAAAGCTAGCAAATGCAATCTCTGACCATTTTGATCGGGTTGAGGAAAGGTTAGATGAATTTGCTTCTCATTTTGGTAGAATACAAGGTCATTTACATGTTTTGTGTGAAGTTATTTCTTCTAATGATATACACAATGACCCTAGCATGGATGGTGAGCATGTTACATGCGA